TATATATATATATATATATATATAATATATATATATATATATATATATATATATATATATATATATATATATATATATATATAATATATAATATATAATATATATATATATATAATATATATATATATATATATATATAATATGTATAATATATATATATATATATATATTTTAAATTAATATTCCAATTCTGACCATTGGCTAAATTTTTTTTTTCATTTTTTTTAGAAAAGTAACTGTCATGATGATGCTTTGCTATTCTGACCATCATGTTCATCTTTTTAAGTTGTATTCTCCAAAAATGTCTATTTGGTTTATACTTGGAATTTCGAATAGAACCTTTAATACTCAATCCATGGGAGTAGATTGTTCTCATTCTCATTTCCATTAGGAGCTTGTGGCCATATCACGTCGAAACACCGATTCCCTTACGGTCATCAAAGTTAAGCAACGTCGAGCCTGGTCAGTATGTATCGCTAGTATTTATGGGTGACCACTTTGGAATACCATGTAAGCTTTGGTGTGGGTGATGTATTGGATAACGGCTTGGAATTGGAGCCGAGTTTCAATTTCAGTCGGGTTCGTTATCTCAAAAAAGTTAGTTTTTGATGTCTTTAAATAACCTGCAAAGAGCTGATAGGCCGTAGAAAACGAATCAATCAAAACAAAATCATTTCCAAAGGCGATATTTCATAAATCAGTTATTAATACTATTACCTACCTTTATTTTCTTTTGGAGAAATGCATTACTTCATGATGACACAAACGTGGATTAAAGAATTAATGAAAAACATGTCTATATTTTTCTGGCATTTTTTAATTTAATCCCTAGGTGATGTCGTGCTCTAAAAAGAGACGTCTGGTTCAGATGAAGAAATGGACAGGCAATAAATTGCTTGTTTATGTTGGAATTAAACAAATCTGATGCAAAATATGCATTTATGTTGGTTTATGGAAAATGTGATTTCCAAGTATTGGGATTTTGTTTATTTTAGATTTTGTAAAATTAGTATTTTTTAATTGTTAAGCATTTTCCAAAATTGCCACAGATGGGAAATTATCATTATTAAATGCCTTTTTATATACTGGAGGGTATACCGCCTTAAATTTGAACATTATAACTAAGACAAGTATACAAGTCTGAAGGCAAGACATATAATTATGGTAAAGTTGGGTTTATAGAAAGTTTATCCTAAGTCAAAACATTCTTTACTGATATCCTATCTTTATTGCATGAAGAACATTGATATCAAAACATTTTTACAAGTCTTGACTTTTGAAAAATTGCTAAGATATTGCAAGATGAAGAAATACAGGTTTCATCTTTAAAATCTATAGCAATTTTTTTTTACTCATTAACATTTCTAAACTCTTACTGCCAGTTGCAATAAACTGAGATAATATAGCCAGACTCCAAGATAACATGATCATGTATTCTTAGCTTCTAATTTTAAAAAAAATATGAAAATTTTTGTAAGGATTTCATGTATTTTAAGCTGCAAAATGTAAGATATTCATTTATTTAGTTTCATAGCTGTCATCCATCATGATTTAAAATATGAGAATTAAAACTTCTTGATACAAATGTCTCATTGTTGAGAAAAACAATTACCACTGAGTAGTAATTTTGATACTCATTAGGAATTCCATGTTTTGTCTCCAACCCTGTGTTATATTGGAATCTGTGTTCTCTTTCTTGAGTGTGTGAGGAGTTTAATGTTTATCAGAAAGCAAAATCAACAAGCCAAGTTCAAATTCCAATCTGGTCTGTTGCATTCACTTTCACATAAAAGTTTTTAAGAAAGGCCCATCTATTCTTCCCACTCCATCTAGATATGTGCTAAATAGAAGTGTAGACTGGGCTCTCTAGCCTAGGATGACAGCCAGTCTTGGAAAAGGAAAACTCTGAATTCCAAACTGTGGAGAAAACATTCCACTATCTTTCCAAAGAAGTCATAGAAAATGAAAGATGATAAAGAAGCAAAATCTGTGGAGAGCCATGATTGTCTACATCCTGAATAGATATTTAAATAAAAAGGAAGCTGTAGAGAGCTATGACTGCTTGTCCTGAAAGGACATGGTATTTTAAAAATATTACTGTAATATGCATTTTTTTCTTAAAAAAATAATAAGGAAAATCAGGGGTGCATATAATGCAAATCTACAAAAAATCTTTTAAAAAAATTGCTGTAAAATAAGATAAGAATGATCATGAAACTAAATCAGAACAATATTATTCTATGTTTAAAACTATTTTTTAAAATAAGAGTAGGAAACGCTGGCCGTAATGAAATTGGAGCGGTACAATTTATAGGGTTTGATTACCAAACAAGGGTTGCATATTATGCATGAGTAAAAGCATTTCCCACACTTTCAGCACAGATTTAGGTGTGTGTATTATGGATGAAGACATATTATACATGGGAAATTACGGTAATTCCTTGGATTAATTAATTCGTTCATGACATAATGCCTCTTATTGGGCCCCCAACATTGTGTTATGTTAGGGTTTATCTCTACAGTATTTCGTAAATGTATGAAAGGTGTTCCTCTATGAGATAATTTCCTTATATGTATATCTTGGGCACTCAGCAGTGCATTAAATGCAAAGAGGCATCTATTTGTAACCTGTGCACATATGCCATCTCCTTATAGTGCAACATTTTTTTCTCATATTTTTATTTTTTATTTTTTTTTTTAATTCTAGTGGAAAAGGCAACAAAAGAAAGGAATTGAAGAAACTGGTCCATTAACAACCAATCCAGATCCAGGCTATAGTTCGGATGTTCTTTCTGAAACTGAATATTATTTTGAAGATGGTAACAAATGTTTTGGATTCATTTTTCTTATAACTTGAATTCCATGGAATCAGTTGACTCAATGGAGGCAAACTTTTGTAAAAAGCAAGCAGTTACATTATTCGGACTATTGTCCTCATCTTTGTCACCATATTTATTACGTTACGGCCGTTGTACGCTCCGGCCTTCTTCATGTGTTTGGAATGTCAAACTTGACCCTTTATTTCGCTCACTGTGGTAGACTGTTCTAGTTCCACGTGCCATGTTTAATGGATGTCAGTTATCAGTTATCTCCTGTTAATTTCCCTCTGAAAGTTTTCACTGCTTTAACCATGTATTGAACTCACACTCTTTGGGTCCTGTCACTGGATCTGTGCCATGTGTCTTTCATTGTCTGGGTATGAATTTCTGGGTATTATAAACCTAATGTCTTCAGCAACCATTTTTACCAGTGCTCATATTGCAATTTTTTGCTGTTATCATTACATGTTTTTACCAGAGCTCATATTGCAACTTTTGTTATTGTTTTTCTTTTTCTTTGGCACTCCTTATTATTGGTTCCCATATTGTATTCATTTCTATGCTTGGTCAGTTCAGGAGATTTTTGTGGCCTAGCATATGTGCTGATTCCTTAAGTTTACGAATTTTCCAATGGTGTTCCTTGTCTATGACCTCAACCTGATCCGACAGAGGGCGGTGATCACCCTTCTATTCTCCAAGCAATTATTTTATCATCTCACTATTATGTAAAAAGTAAATAAAAATAATAATTTAAAGTGTTTAAATTTTCTTAAGGAAAATTCATTGCTTTTCAAAGTTACAAGGTTACCTCTGAAATTGTAGAGTCTCAACAAAAGAAAATACTTTTGTAGCTATATGAAAGAACCAATATATTTCTTTTGTAGGGCTTCGAAAAGTGTATCCCTATTTTCACACATTCACTTCTTATGTGAAAGGACGTTGGTTAGGGAGAACAGTGTGGGATGTCTTCACCAAAGAATTTCATGTTTCAACAGAAGAAAATTTAGTACGTATACATTTCTTTTTTTTTTTCTCTTTTGTATTATTTTCTCTGTTTAATTTTTGGTTTCTTTTTTCCTCTTCTGTATTTTCTAAACTTGTCACCTTCAAACACTCATGTTTCACTCAGTGTAAAAACATCTTGTATAGAAAATTCTTCAGAGGATTCACCAGATTAAAGCCAGAATGTTCTTTTATGAAGGAATTTCAGAATTTACCTGAATGTTGGCAAAATGTCATAGCAAGCCAGAGAGAATACTTTGAGCATTGAATAATGCTGCTATGAATTTAGATAAATAAAATTTTGTTAAAAATATGGAGGAAACTATCATAGCTAACATTTAAATTCAATTTAACAAAAAATCATAAGAATGTAAGATAACGAAATAGGGTAAAAAAGTTACGGAGTGAAAATATTTTGTTTCAGTTAAAAAAGAAGAAAAATGAACAGTTATGAAACCGATTTTAATATGTTATTGAGTAAAACTTGTTGATCTTTGTCTATGTATTAAAAATACCAGATTAAAACATATGATGCATTGAAATTTCTGCCATAAAGTTTGTTGATGTGTCAATGAAATGTTTTTTGTAATATCAAAACAATGCATGCTTATATATATATATGTGTGTGTGTGTGTATATATAAAGTGATAGAAATTAGGAGGAAATGAGATAATTATAATTAAGTAATTTTCCGTGCCACAAGGTCCCCAAACGACCCTCCACAGGTTTTGAATTTAGAGTTGTCCTTCTCCTAGACCAGTTGCTATACAAGGCTATAGAACCCAGTCTGTCCTGCTATTTACCCATAGCTGAAAGGAGAATGGATTCATACCTTTCCTGAAGGTATTAGCATGTAATTGAATGTAATGAATTCAAATGGAATTCGAACTCGGCTCACCGATTCCTCAATCCAAGCCACTAACCATTATTCCACCGTGCCTCCATATATATATATATATATATATATTATTTTATGCAGTACTAAAATGCAACAATGTGTATCTTTGCCTAATTGCAGATTGTTTATATGGGTGTGTTTGTGTGAAATAAAATGCGTATGCCTATATGTATGTATGTATGTCTGTATGAGAGTGTCATTCCAAATGGGCACAGATGAGAATTTCCCCCCACCACCACCAAACATAATCAAATACAAACAAGCATAAATAGATTCAATTTTTAAAAAATAAACCAGTTTGTCTGATGATCACAAAAGCATGAAACACAGGGTCACAAACTCAAAGCCATACAACTGAATAAATATATATATATATATATATATATATATATATATATAGTTCATAAGTACAACAAGAATTGGCTGCATGGTTGGCTGAGTTATTGGAACATGTTTTATAATTTTATTCTAGTAACTATTAAGTTTTCCAGAAAGTTCATGCCAATATTTAGTCCTTCATGTTCGAACACATTAGAACACATCAAATGTATAGATATATGCTTACATTTCTGATTAGAGCACACTCTTCAAACTATCTGTTGAGAAAGAAAATTTAAAATTACTTAATTCATGTCAATTTTGCATCTCTATGAAAATGGAAGATAATGTGCATTTTAGACACTTGATTTAGAATAAACCTACATTGAACAATGAATTTGCAGAAACACCAAATTTATCAAAATCCACCATCCATAAGTACTTAGTGACACTTCGGTACTCAAATTGCTACAATATTTGGGTACCACATTATCTGAGTGAAAAGAATCTTTTGTATCACATTTCATCAGTGATTTGCTGTATAAATGCAATGAAAATGCACTCCTTTTGAAGCAAATTGTGATGGGTGATGAGAAATGGATTGTTTACAACAATGTTCAGCAAAAAAGATTGTGTGGTAAGCGACATGAACCAACTTTAGCCACCTCAAAAGTAAGTCTTCATCCAATGGAAGTTATGCTGTGCATCTGGTGGAATTGGCAAGGAATCCTGTACTATGAGCTTCTGCCAAGTAACCAAACAATTGATTCTGAAAAGTACTGCTCTCAACTGGGTGAATAAAAGGTAGCAATTCAAGAAAAATGCCCAGAATTGGAGAGGAGGAAAAGTGTTGTTTTCCATCAGGATAATGCCAGACCTCATGTTTCTTTGGTGACCCGGCAAAAATTGTTGCAGTTTGGCTGGGATGTGTTACCTCACCCACCATATTCACCAGACATTGTTCTTTTGGTTTTTCATTTATTCAGGTCCTTGCAAAATAATCTCAATGCTAAAAATATTAATTCTTTGGATGACATAAAAAACCACATTTTAATGAGTTCTTTGCCAAGAAAGCGCAGAAATTCTGGGAAGATGGAATCTTTAAGTTGAAGGAAAAAATAGAGAAAGGTTGTGCAACAGAATCGTTCATATGTCCCTTAAAAGTCGGCATGAACTTTTCAGGCAGCCCAATACATTCTTGATTCCTTTCATTTTTGTCCAGGAATTGGATGCCGATTCTACATCTGGGTTTATGGTGTCCTTTGATATTGTCAGTTTCTTTTTACTAACCTTAACCTCTTGGTGAAATGATTGACATTTGCACTGATGTCCTTTATTGTGATCATTTCTGTATCCACCTCATTTTCCCAAAAATATTTTTAAGGAATTAATGCTTATTGCTACTGAGGGTGTTGAGTTTAGTTTCAACAATACTATGTACAATCAGATTGATTGTGCAGCCCTTTAGGTCCAGTTTTGACTAATATTTTCATGGGTTTTTATGTAGATCGGCTTTTTGAAAATGGTCATAGACACACATGTTACTAGTATTGTTACGAGGATGCATTTCTATAATAAGGGTTTCCTTTGAGTTCTACTTGTTATTACAAAAAAGTTTTCATTCATGAAGTAGTTGTAAAATAGAGAAATTAGAAATAGAATGTTTGGAAGATTCTAGATCATTCTAGTATATTCGAGAAAAATCTAGATGATTCGAGAAACATCTAGAAATATGCAAATTAGGTGTTAGCCCCTATAAAAATGGGATTTTGGAAAAGGGTTGTGAGTTGTTGAATGGAAATTTCTGCTGTTATCAACTCCGGCTTTTGATTCAAGGACTATTATATCCAGCCGAAAGAATCTCTATAAAAAGTTGCCGATCAACCAAAACCCAAAAGAGAATTTCATGGAACACATTTGGTAAATAGAATTTTGACTAATTTTCATTGACCAAACTAAAAATTAATATTTATTTACACACCTTTGTGGATTTCCAAATATAGCACTTAGATTACTTCACTAGCCCTAAAGTGATAAATATATTTGACTCCCTTTCCTTCTCCCTCGTAACACTTCTGCCAGTAACTCTGTGTTTTTTGTTTTGTAGGCCACAATTGTTTATCTTGTATATATTTTATGTTCTGTTTTAGTAAATTAAATATTTGTTTGTGATTTAGCTCTGTGTTGTGGTAAATAATTTTTTTTTCCTTTGTTACAATTATCAACACGTAACAGTATATTGATGATACATTTGTTGATGAACAAAAGTTAGTTTTTTGACGGACTTGAATTGTTACATCTCTCTTTGAGGTTTACCATGGAGAAGAAAAATGATTGTTCCTTACCCTTTCTGGACATTCTCATTGAAAGATCTGATAACAAATTTTCTACAAGTGTATATCATAAACCAATTTTCTTGACTTTGTACACTGATTGGAAATCCTTTGTACTGAAGAGTAGAAAAATCTATTTGGCACCCATATCGCTACCAAATGTACCACATGGTCAAGGTTTGAAGTGGGTTTACCAGCAATACTATGGAAAAATTACTCAAGCCCCTATGGCACTTCACCTTTTAGGTATGCTTCAGGGAGCAGCCCCCTCCCAAAGAAGATGTACTGCCTGAGGAGTTGGCCACCTGGAGCTTGAGTTAATATTAATTTTATACTTCACTGGCTTCTGCCAGTGAAGTATATTGATATTTCTTATGAAATCCCAGATAATGGCCTTAAAATATTTTTAGTAGACTTTGACTTTTGTTAATTTGAAAAAAAAATAGTTATGTTGGCTTGAAGTAAAAATATTAGGTCATCCCATGCTAATATCCAAAATCTGATGATGGCAGACTAAAATATATTTTCACTCTTCTAAAATGCCTAAATGATAACAATGTATGCAATTAAGTAACTCCTAAAGAGACTGTCCTATCAGCATTTGCATAATATCGGGGTTACTGTATGAATAGTACAATTACAGCTGTTCTTTCTGCTGATTATTCCAGGTGGGTCCTTACATATACCCCACTTTGTGTTTTGCTGTCTCTCTACCTCAGTTTCTTACCTCCCCATCCCAAAATATAAGCAAAGATAGGACACACACAGTAGGAGTCACTCAGGTCATCCATACAAAAAGTAAACAAGTTCTCTATCTTTTAGAAGAGTCACACTGTGGAACAGACTCCTAAGATACTTCCTTTAGCTCTATAATCTTAACCACCTCACGTCAACAGAAGAATTCAAAATTGATTGCTGCATTTAAGTATTGCATTAATATTTAAGCTTGCCTTTTAAAAGTTCAACAATAATTCTTCTGCTGCCACTTAATTTAAAGTATGTAGATCCTTACTTTCTGGTACAAACAATTATTTTTATTTCATGGATGACTTTCGCTGAATTTCGCAATTAATTTTGATTATTCCCAAATTTATTTCCAAGTTATAAAATTCGTACAAAAAGATCTGGCACAAAAACTCATGTAAAAAAAAATCACCGAAAACAATGGTACTAATAAAAACTTGGGAATCAAAAATTTCAGGATTGTGGTTTCAGATCTGGCCCAGAATGTTTTTAATTTGCTTATGGAGTCAGCCTGATTCCAAAATGGTATGATATGTTGATCTATGGCCTCTAGGAGTAAAGTTGAAAAAGTATGAGACACTAACATTTGCATTTTATTATATATGAAATCCTGACACCTGGAGTGTGGACTGAATAATTACAAAAAAACTTAGCTATGAAACTAGCTGAGATACTGAATGTAACATCAATCAGCTAAATGACAAGTTTTATTTGTATTAATCATTATATATACATATATATATATATATATATGTATGTATGTATGTATGTGTATATATATATATATATATTATTTATTTTAGGATATTAAAACATTAAACTGCTACATAATGGCAATTATGTTTCAACACTGTAAATGTGTCTTCTCAGGCAATGAGTATTCTGCTTTTGAAATTAAATTAATCTTTCACTTGCCAAAAGTTTAACATCGCCAAAGTTGACACATTTATCATGTCGAAATATAATTGACTTTATGTAGCAATGTTTAACATGTTTTAATATCCTAAAAAAAATAATATTTAGTTCTACTCTGTATTGAGCCCTCTTTTAAATGTTACATATGGTGGTATTATATTCCATTTGTTCTCATTTTACCTGGAGATATATATATATATATATATATATATATATATATATATATATATATATATATATATATATATACATGCCATCAATCATATTTACTTTTTTCTCTTGATGTTGAGAGAAGAATTTTAAAAATTTCTCATATTTTTTCTGCATGTTTTTGAGGGGAATTAAGGAGTTAAATAAGAGATTAAGGAAATTGATAAGGAAGATTATTTAATCAGAGAAAGTCTCTTAATTTTTTGTACTATTTTATAATTTTTGTTATTTTTTTGACAGCTGCAAGATATCAATAGTGGCTTACTTCGTGTCAATGACAAAATTGTCACTGCTGACTATAAACTCAAATTTAATGACTTGCTGTCTCATAGGATACATCGGTATGTTGGTAAAAATTTTCTGTCATAAATTCTTCTTGAAATACATAAATTAATTTTTATCTCTTTTTTTTTTTTTTTTTTTTTTTTTAAGTGTGTGGAAAACAGGTTTGTATTTTACTTTTATAAAGCAAAAGTGCTGATAACTTTTGCACACTTAATATTTGTAAATTTATCAAGTAAGATTAGCTTTTCATTTTCTTTTCTGCTTTAGATTAAAAGAGCCTTGAAAATATTTTTCGAAACTCTAAAATAAGTATTTGTATGTAAGAATATCTACTTTTATAAATAAATACTGTAATTCAATAATGCTTGAAGAATGATGTGAATAAATACTTAAGTTTTAATAAAAATAACCATTTTCTCATTCAATATAAATATTTTTGTCTATATTTCTGAGATGAAGTATTATGTACATTATTTACATTATTCGGACTATTGTGCTCATCTTTGTCGCCATATTTATCACAGCATTTTGGCTATTGTACACTCCGGCCTTCTTCAGGTGGTTGGAATGTCGAACTGAACCGTTTATTTCGCTCACTGGGGTAGACTGTTCTAGTGCAGATATCTCTCCCGAGTAAGACCCCCCCCCATAGAGGAGAACATGACTAACGACTGTGTACGCTATCCCATGCAGCTGCGGAAAGGAATATAAAGGAGAGACAGGCCGCCCCCTCAAGGTAAGGCTTCAAGAACACCAGAAAGCTGTAACACTAGGGGAAGTAGAAAAATCAGGCGTGGCTGACCACATATGGAGAGAGAAGGGAGATCACCGCCCTCTGTGGGATCATGTTGAGATCATAGACAAGGAACACCATTGGAAAATTCATAAACTTAAAGAATCAGCACATATGCTAGGCCACAAAAATCTCCTGAGCTGACCAAGCATAGAAATAAATACAATATTGGAACCAGTAATAAGGAGTGCCAGAGAAAAGCAATGATAACAACATAGTTGCAATATGAGCACAGGTAAAAATGGTTGCTGAAGACATTAGGTTTATAATTCCCAGAAATTCAAGGACACATGGCACAGTGGATAAAGGCGTTGATTAGATCCAGTGACAGGACCCAAAGAGTGTGAGTTCAATACCCGGTTAAGGCAGTGGAGAACTTTCAGAGGAAAATTAACAGGAAATAACTGACATCCATCAAACATGCCACGTGGAACTAGAACAGTCTACTCCAGTGAACAAAATAAAGGGTTCAGTTCAAAATTCCAACCACCTGAAGAAGGCCGGAGCGTACAACGGCCGAAACGTTGTGATAAATATAGCAACAAAGATGAAGACAATAGTCCGAATGATGTAAATGATGTACATAAATATTTTTCTATATTTTTTCCAGTTTATGGTCTTTTGTGTTTCTTTTTAACCCAACATTACAGTTAATATCTATTTTTTGATTTCTCTCAATTATATTTGTAATGTTACTAACATCTGATAAGAATACATGTATAAAATAATTGTTTATTCACTTCTGAACTCTGTCAAATTCTAAACAGTTTCCCCCCACTTTGTATTTCAAATCATGTCTGCGTCCTTGTCAACAAAAATTGGGAAAAGCCCAGTGTACATTCACAAGAGCACATAAAGTAAAATAATGCCACAGTAAGAAATGAAAACACAAATCCTGTTTCCAATATATTGGGTTCTTTGTTCAGAGACTGAGTTTCAAGTCAGTCCTAGCACTCATGCTTGGGGTATGAGAAGGCACTTAGGTCCCTTTGCATTTTTTTTTACTTCTGCCCAACAACTATTGATGTAAATGTTTGGATGGATGGTCCATCCCTCTCTCCCCCTCTGTTCACTCTCACTGTGTATCTGCCTATATGATTCAAATTCCTTACCTTCCAGCAGAGTGGCACTTGATCCTGAAAGTTTATTTTATTTCCTTTTTCCTTACTTGTGGGAAGTGCCTGGTGGCTTTGAAGATCTCACTTCTAGATTTTTCTATCTATATGGTCATAAAATCTGTAAATTTTTTTTCTTCTTCCAGTCATGAAAATCCTGTTATTGGCACAAAACTAGAGATAATTGAAGATAATGAACACGTTATTGTTATTAACAAACCATCTTCAATTCCATGTCATCCCTGTGGCCGATATCGCTACAATTCCATTGTCTTCATCCTTGGGAAAGAATATGGCTACACTAACCTTCGAAGTAAGTTTCAAAATTTGCATTTCTGCTTTTTACTTTCCTCACAATGTTTTCTTTATCATTTATGCCTTTTAATTTTATGCACATACTCACAAAAACATGTTTCTGAAGTTTACAGTAATAATAAGATGTCTTAAGTAATTTTTTTATTCCTATAAATTCATAGAATAATTATTTAGCAATCAAAATCTCTGTTATAGAATCTTTCAGCTAAATTGTGTATTCTGTCCTAATGTTTCTAATTTTAATTCAATGATGAATTTCTTTAGATATTTTAACTTATTGGAACAATTGACCAAATAGAGTTGAATTAGAACATAATAAAGGAGAATGGGAAGAATCTGGAGAACATGTGTAACACTTGGAAAGAACATCTCCCTGATTGTTTACTGCATTGCATTTGTAACACAAAGACAGGAATTAATCTACCATAGAGTCATCAGTTTACTTTCTTTACAAATTCTATTCTCATTTATCATTTAAATGAAACCATTCTTTCCTAAACAAAAAACTTTTTTCTTACCCTCAGTTGATTCCATTAGGTTGAAATCTTTGTTGAAAGCTATCAAAGATATAGACATATTTTCTTTACCTTAGATTCTTGGAATCTATTTTTCATTGTCAGTGACTGTCTCATCTAAAAATTACTTTTTTCTGTGTTGAGCAAGAAGATTCAAACAAATTGGGATAAAAAGCAACAAAAATAAAAATGACTCATTTTGAAAACTTAAGTCTTCAAACAATGATTGATATTTTTTCTGTAAATTCCTGTAGAACCTATTTCCTTAGCTTCAGAATTTTTCTTAACATTTCTAATTGATCAACTACTGTTGACTAATTGTATGAACACTAAAATGATTAGTAAACTTTCAAAATGTGTAGAACAATAAAAACCAGTTTCCATGTGAGGAACAAGAAGACTTGCCTCCTGCAAAGTGAGTTTGCTCGGTGTGTCAGGTGCTGTTGAAAGATCGCAACAGGCATTAAAAGAGAAATGGATTATTCTGAAATTTCCATATCGCGGGCAGACGTACAAAGGAAAAAGATAAAAATAAAAAAGACTAAGAATTCAAACAAGCTTGAATTTATAAAACCGGAAGTCTCGGGCGAACGAAAAGCAAGTCTCGTATGCAAATTTTAGTTGCCCCTGATGCGAGCATAAATAGCAAGTCTGGGAGGAAGAGGAGAGGGATGCATTGTTGGCGTGACGGCGTATGTATTAACAAGACTGAGAGAATAAGAGGTCACTAGCAACAGCTGAGTAGACTGGAAGACTGGATGAAAGCAAGCACCGTTTCAGTCATTGCAAACGACGGGCGAACTGAATTACCCACACATGTCTGAATCTAAAGGACTCATTTTTGAAATTCAAGTGTTTAAACTGATTGACATCCCCTTTCTGTAAATTTCTGTGGAACCCATTTTCCTTGCTTCTGAATATTTTCTAAGGCTTGTAAAAAATTTAAACATTTAACTGATTCCAACACTGACAAAAAAAATGAGTAAAGTTGCAAAACACTTAGAAAAACCAAGATATATCTTCTCATCCAAGTGAATAATGGAGACATTATACAAAAATATTTTTTTAAATTCTTATATTATCAACCAGCTTTATATTTTTTTTTTTTTCCCCTCCTCATTCTCACTTTCAGATATTTACCGGCTGGACCGGCTGACCTCTGGGGTTTTGATTTGTGCCAAGACTTCTGAAAAAACACGAGAATTAGAAGACCAAATTCTTAACAAGTCAGTTCAGAAAGAATATGTCTGTCGTGTCGTTGGAAAATTTCCAGAGTAAGTAAAATTTTCCTTTTGTTTTAATATCACTTCTCTGTTGCAATCGAAATCTGTCAGGAAGGCGTTTTCATCTTCAGTAACACCAACAGGAATATTTGGTGTATCTTTATTCTCAGTTAATGTCTACTGAAGATTCTTGATTTTGAGAGATCAACAATTGTTCAAATTTTATGAAAATTTAGTTGGTAACGAGATTTCAGACAAAATCAATTCAAATTAGTCAACATTTGTGTCCACCAATATGCATGAATGAATTAAAAACTACTTTTATTAATATTTTGTATAAATATTGAGTCAGTTATGTTAATTGATGTGTATTGAAAATTGTTCTAATTTTGGATGTTACAGATTTTTGTAATAAACTGTTTTCGTTTTATAACTTTCTTTTTGCTTCAATAATTTTTTATGCAAAATTTGTGCAGAACAAATTTTTAAGTCTCCTTACTTCCATTTTTAAATTTTTTAATGTTTAAATTTTTATTCTTTAAATGAATGTTAATAAGAATTGAAATTTTCTATTTTTTGTAATTTAAAATGTTTTTAGCGAAGTTGAAGTGGACCAACCATTGGAATGCATTAACCATAAAATTTCTTTGTGGCAAGTTCGAGAATCTGGCAAACCAAGCAAGACATTGTTCAAACGGCTCAGTTACAATGGCACAACCAGTGTTGTCCAATGTGAGTTGAACTTTCCCTCTCTCTCTCTCACTTTCTTTCCTTTTTTTTTCCTTCCTTTTTTTTATTGTCTTCAAATTCCATAAATGTTATTTTATACAGGCCTTCTAATAATAGGAAAGATGAATGTTAATTAACAGGCTATGGGTGATAGTAGGATCTTGAATAATAGCCAAAGGAAAGTGGAGATAAAACAAAATGGAAAAGTTATTCAATTATGCCTTTTTCTTTAGAGTAGGTGTCATCAGGCTGGATTGAATTGAGGAACAAACCCGTGTGTAATAAAAGGGTGTTGAAATATTGGGTGGGGGTGTTGAGTTAATAAAGATGAAAAAAAAATATCAACTCTCTTGTCACAATGGTTGATAAGGATCTTTATTACCTCTTCTCTTCCCCACCCATATTCTGTCGCTCTTTTCTCACGCATGGGCTTGTCTCTCAATTCCACCTGAAGATACCTATTCTAATGGGCAAAATGCCTGACTGAAAATGTTTTCCATTTCTTTTTTATTATTTCTCCAGCTCAGTCTGTTTAATAACTCTAGAGATTATTCAGACTAATATCCTTATCTTTGCATTTTTTTAAATTTTATTTCTGCTGATAGTTTACATTTTATAGAACTTTCCAAAATTCTAAAATGTTTATCATCGTCCCACAGGTTTTTTTTACTGATCAGCCCAGCCTTGATGTTCTTATCATTGCATTTCAGCTGATGTATCAACTAAAACTTGACGGATATCATTTATCTTAAATCTTTCAAAAGAGTTACAGAGTTTAATAATTGTGATTAATTTCTCTTTGAATTTCTGGGATAAGCATTTATCATTATTTAAATTTGAATTATTGTCCTCAGCCTTGAAATAGGAATTAGACAAGGTATACCTAGATATGAGCAGTAGAACAAGACCCATCTAACCCCATAAATTAAATGAAAGGTTCACTTCAGAATTCCCTGTAGATTACCCTGATTGACACACCTGCAGGCATTATTCACACTTATTTATATTTTTATATCTACCACCACCTGCACACCCACCGAATAATGACTCGGAGAATTTCAGGCATTATTCACACTTATTTATATTTTTATATCTAATAGCCTCTATCCTTTTAGGATGTTGGCAATCATAGCTCTTTACTGATTCCTTTCTTTTTTATTATTATATGTGAATTGCTACACTTTCTTTGGAAAGAAAGTGAATTGTTTTTTTTTTCTGTTGCATTCTTCACAGTTTGGAATTCATAGTTTGCCTCCTCTTAGACTGGTTGCCAATCAAGGCTAGAGATTACAGAATACCCTTCTATTAGCCACTAGAGAAGGACTTTTGTGTGAAAGTGAATGCGGCAGATTAGCCCAGAATTCGGTTTTTCCAATTCCACTTCTTCAATGATATGCATCACACTACTCCCACATCCCATCTGCTTATATAATACACTATAATTATTTTCCTTGAATTGCAATAAAACCTTTTATTCATCTGAACTTATGTATACAGTATTTTATTTTCCTTTTTTCCTACTTAACTACTTCTATTTTTTTCTCTTTCTTTGGAGCACCTAGTGTTGTAGCATACCTATGGATGATAATAGGTATGTCCCCATTCAGATAAGTACCGTAGTAAATACTGTATGCTGGTCTGCAGTTGGAGATTCATTGTGGAATTTGCTTGACTCACTTCTAGCTGTTGACTACTACTTCTACATGCTGCTGGCAAATCTTATATGTGTTGTTCTTGTCCTAAGTATTATCATTTATTACCAACCTTCGTTTGATTATTCTATTCAGTAACCTTCCCTAGGTTACAACATTTTGGCAACAAGGATTAGCCAAAATTACAACACCTAGTAAGGATTTGAGTTTTCTAAACATTGATCTATGATATATGTTGGAAATTTTTTTTTTTTCTTTTTAATTTAAGGTTTTCCATTGACTGGGCGAACTCATCAAATCCGGGTTCATTTGCAATATTTAGGTAGGGTTTGACTATTTTATTACAGTTTTTATTTCATGTTATTAATTTGACTCCCAATTTTGGGAGAGAAAATAAAAGTAGCATTAAGTATTTCAAAGAATTACTTTTTATATATTCATCATTCTAACATGTTTTGTTGTTTTCTATTTAGAATTGATCCAACCATTTAATATTAATGAAAAAGAAGCCGATTTAGCACAATGGCTCCTTAATCCTCTTGAAAGTATTTTCCCTTGAGACTTAACACACTTATCCCATTTCTCAGAACAATTTATGCAAAAGCCTTTGGCAAGGTACAGTACAAGTTTCTATTTGAACTGCTAAGAAAACTAGATCTATTTGGAAAGCATATTAGAATAATACAGAATCTATACTGGTAAACAAACAACCTACATCCAGACAGAAAATAAATTGGATAGCTACACAAAAATAGAAAGGGTCATAAGGCAAGGGTGTGTCTTCTCTCTAGATTTCTTCAACCTCTACAGTGGGTTTTGCAAATGTCCCTCATATAAGTAGCAGTCAATACAGCTAATGGCTAAACTAATCTTTGACATTGAAGCTTAAACTACTAGAGAAATAGTAGTTAATACTTCTAGCTAATTATAGCTTACAACATTCTGTTCACTACTAATTTTGTTTTGCATATCAATATAGACAGGGCATTAAAACCTAAAATTCTGGATCTAGATAGTAAGACAGCCAGGGCAGAGAAAATATGGAATCATTGGTACCAAACATTTTTAAACTTCCTCAAGCATATTGAGGGTGATGAATTGGATATTCTTATAAACTATGTGTCATCTGATATATACGAACTGTTCAATGAATGTACAAACTTTGAAGAATCTATTAAAATTCTGAAGAGAGATTTTGTCCAAGAAAAAAAATGAGATATATGCCAGGCATGTACTTGCAAGAAGAGCTCAATAGACTGGAGAATCGTTGGATCAATGTGTCTCTTCAAGTCTTGCACATTCTGGCAAAGGACTGTAAATTAAAAAATGTTACCGCTCAAGTTTATGAAGAGGAACTTATTAGAGATGCGTTTATTTCTGGGTTATCTGCATTTCCTATTCGTCAGAGACTTCTTGGAAGAAAAAAAAAACGCTCACCCTCACAGAAGCTGAAAATCAAGCACAAAATATGAAAAGGGCTATCCTAAATTCTGAAGCCTGTTCTGCTGAATTTACAAAAAATTTAATTCATCTTTTATGGATAATTTATGTGTTGATTTGATTCTCGGACATTCCTCAAGACATTCAAGGCCTGCACAAAAAAATAGAAATTTTATATGAGGGCGATAGACCACCACTAAAACTGTGGACTAGCTCTTCCTCTGAAAATCTGTCACCTGACTGTAGACCTATATCTGTGAAATCTCGAAGATACTCTAGAGAAGAGGAGACATTTATAAGGAAGGAAATAAAAATCCTGTTGGAATCAGATATCACTGATCCCAGTGGATCCCTGTGGAGAGCACAAGTAGTGGTAACTAAGGATGAGAAGCAAAAAAAATGGTTAATCATAGATTATTTACAAATGATAAATCGTTTTACCTTAAAAGATGCCTATCCTCTACTGAAGATTACAATGATGGTTTGGGAAATAGTAAAGTACAGTCTGTACTTTAAACTAAACCTAAAAAATGTGTATCATCAAGTTCCCCTACATAAAGCAGACTACCCTTACACATGGTAAATTGTATAAATTCCAAAGGATGCTGTTTGGGATCACAAATGGAAATGACTGGGTTTCAAACAATTTTGGATGAAATAATTGAAAAGGAAGGCTGTAGTCAAAAGAAATTAGCAACTCTGTTGTGGAACACAATTTCAGATTCAGCCAAGTTATTGGCATAGAACTCGCTCTCTTCTCCAAGATGGTCTCCTTGTCTTTTTTGGAGATGCCAATAACTTGGCTGGATCATAAACATGCTAGACATCCTGACACCAACACACCTGAATGTCCCTCCTAGATTTTGTCCAACTATGCTAATATTATGTAAAGTCATTAATGACCCAATTTCTTGTGGGACAACAAAGATGGGTCTCATTTAACAGAACGGTGCATTTGTCTTTTCTCAAATTGAAGTCCTACATGCTAGACAAAGATGAACACTCTTTTGTCGAGAATAAGGAAGAGTCTTGTTCACCATTTCTGCTGCCATTCGACTCTGGTTCTGGTTCATTATGTCTGCTATGCCATCTTTAATCTATGCGCGGAGCTTTTTTTTGTACACAGGTCTTATTTGGTAAAGCACATGGTATTAAGCTATGCAGTTTTGTAGGGTGGCTGGTTCCCAGTCCCCTGTCCATTTTCACGAGGCGGTCCAGATCTTCTGACGCTGGTCAAATAAAATACTGAAGTTGGGTTGGTCAATCTTGAGTGCTGCACACATGGAAGACTCCTTCTGAAACTTCACTGTTCCAGTCTGTGAGATGAGAACACCATCTAAGGTTTTGATGGCATCATAACCCATTAGCACAGGTCAAAGTTTAATGGCTTCTTATGCACCACCAGGGCTTTGATGTCAGTGAAATTCCCAGTGTTTTAACGGATCCTGACTACCCCTATCCCATGACATGTCTGCTACAAAAGTCTAAGGGGAACATTCGCATATACAGATGATTCGACCATTTACAGTATTAGTGACAGAACATAACACTAACTTAGCAAAGTTCAAAGAACTAATTTTAAAGTACAGTCTCACTTTAAATGAAAATATTTTTGTCTACAGAGTAATATAAATAAAACTTTTGGGTGATGTAAGTGAAGTGACCTTTAGACCAAACCTTGAAAGGGTGAGACCTTTGCAAGTACTTCCTCCTCCAGGCAATATGAAAGCTAAGAAGAGAATCATCAGAAAGTTTGCTTACTACAGTCGTTAGATCCCAAACTATTCACTAAAAATTCATGCACTAAATAGCAACACTGTATTCCACTTACCTGCTAAAATAAAAGATTCATTTGAATATTTGAAAAGGGAATTAGAAAAACTGTAGTACACACTCTAGACGATGAAAAATTGAAATTGATGCTAGCTATATGGGCTTAGCTGTGATGCTAAATCAAGGAGGCAATCCTGTTGCATTCTGATCCAGAACTCTAAATCCCTCTGAATGAAACCACTCCCCAGTAGAGAAAGAAGGAAATGCGATCATCATAGCGAGTCATTACCTAAAAGATAAATATTTTATTCTTATCACAGACCAAAGAGATCTATCCTACATTTTCGATAAGTATAAAGTTCCAAAGACTAAAAATGACAAAATTCATCACAAATTGAACTTTCCCCTTACAAATATGGTATCAGATATCAAACAGGCAACAAAAATGCATGCCCAGATGTATTAATGATAGTACATTGTGCTTCTGTTGTAAATATCGACCTTAAGGAGTTACATAATAATCTATGTCCTCCTGGAGTATCAAGAATGACGCACTTTACGAGGTTGAGAAATTTGCTCTACTCAACAGTGAAAATAAAGCGATTGACTGAAAACTGTAATGTGTGTGCTGTAGCCAAAATTTGTAAGAGGAGGTGTCAAATTAATTAAAGCCACTCAACCCTTTGAAAGATTTGTTGCAGACTGGCGAATGTATTTTTAGTGATCAGAAGGATTTTTAGTGTTGGTGTTCTAAGAACATTCGTCCACAACAATTAAAGAAAAATATTAGAAACAAATCATGACGTATTGTTTCAAAACGTAACAATTGAATTTATTAAGTATTTGATATACATGCATGTGAACTGAAAGTTATTGACAGAGTTATGTCTCTTAGACTTGGAAATATTTGTACTTGAGCTCATAAAGAAAAAGTTGATTATTAAACTGTAATTTAGAATAATAAAGTTTCTTTAGCATGTTTGGAATTGTGAGTTGGTAAAGTTGGTAAGAGTTCAGAAGAGATTTTAGAGTTCGTACTTGCGTGAATGTTGGTAATGGTCTTTAACGTCTGACCGCAAAGGTTAAGATGGGAGTTCTTGAAGATTACATCTTGGCAGTGAGGAATGAGACGCGTGCATGAGAGACAGTTTACACGTGTTTTGTTTTTATAATTTTGTTGTACCATGTGACAGTTTCCGACTGAGTTGGTGCCAAAATAGATCTGTCGCATGGGGGTGATTTGATTGGTCAAAACTGACCAATTAGCAAGCTAGATTGAAGGTGATTAACCAATGAATGCTTGTCTATGTACTGTGTTTATTTAATGTGGTGGTAATTAGCATAGAGGAAGAGTGCATTTTCCAATGGGGTGTAACTGGAAAATATGGAAGATTCCACAGAATGAATATTGATTTCAAGGGAATGCTTCTTCAAATCGAGGCAGAAACAAATATTTATGAATGTAGATGGAAATGACGATAAATATTTGTTATCTTGTGGAATGAGGTTGAAATAATAGAACATCAATGGAAACTATGAAAACTTAAAGATTCAGTGCATATGCTAGGCCACAAAAAATTAAGGCAGCCAAGAATAGACATGAATATAATATGGGAAACAGTAACATGGAGTGCCAAAGAAAAGCAATAATAACAAAAAATTGTAATATGAGATCTGGCAAAAAAAAAAAAATGGACGATGAGACATTATGTTTACAATTTCCCAAAATTCAGACACTGATGTTCTTGAGGACAATGGCCCAGTGGATAAAAGCGTTGGTTGAATCCAGTGACTTGACCCAAGGATATTTGTGAGTTCAAAACAAAAACCTGGAGAGTTGAGTTTTAAGGGAGATAACTGATATTGAAACATCTGAAATATGACACATGGAACTAGAACAATCTACCCCTATGGGAAAAATAAAGGATCCGTTTGAAATTTCAATCACTTGAAGGCTGGAGCGTACAGCGGTCAAAATGTTGTGAATAAGGCAACAAAGATGAGGACAACAATCCGAACAATGTAAATAATAGTTGTTTCACTCACTACAACTGTATTGAAAGTTTAAGTAAATTATTTTATATTTGGTATACCAATTTTTATACACTCCTAGTTTTATGTTGGGGAATTAAGGAGATTTTTTTAAGAGAAAGAAATAAATACTAGTTGATCTACTGGATACAACCCACAAGGAAATGGTCAAGTGGAAAGACTGAACGGAATTCTGTGGCAGACAATCAATTTAGCCTTAAAATCAAGTGGTTTACCTGTATATCAATGGGAAACTGTTTTATCTGACGCTCTCCACTTGATTTGTTCCTTATTATGTTCAGCCTTGAATTGTATTCCCCATGAATATATGTTTTCTTATCCGAGAAAATCTACCTACGGAAGATCTGTTCCTTCATGGTTGACGATTCCTGGGAAATTACTCATGAGAAACTACATTCAGAACAACAAGTATGAACCCTACTGTATGAAAAGTTGAGCTGATTCAGACAAATCCTGATTACACTTTTGTTAGGTTACCAAATGGAAAAGAAAGTACTTTTTCACTATGTCACCTTCGCCTGTTGCGGAAGGGAAGGAACGACAATCTCCGAACCTGAAGCAGTTATGATAATCTCAAATAGCCCTATACCAGATTCAGGTAGAAATAATTTACCAAAAACTGAAGATGCTGTACCGCAACCAGTGTCCAGTGATTCAACTGAAAGGGCTGAACCAGGAACCTGTAACTTCTCTTGCCCAAAACACTGCAAAGTGTTCCCCCCAAAGACTGCAAAAAAAAATCACCCCCCATCCTCTAAGTGAATCACTAAGTTGTTTTTGAAACTGTATTCCTTTTCTTTTTCCAAAATGAAATATTTCAAATTAAACTGTTGAAAAAAAAAAAAAAAAAGTGGGGGAGAATGTTGTATTCATATGCAAATCTCCACCATATAAGTAGCAGTTGATACAACTAGTGGCTAGACTAGTTCTTGACCTTGAAGACTAAACTACTAGAGAAATAGTAGTGAATACTTCTCACTAATTATAGCTAGACAGTGAAGTTATCCTAAATGTTAATTGCGGACATGGAAATTAAACTACAGGACCTCCTAGATAAGGTGGTTGAAGAAAGCAATAAAAAAGTACGAACTGCAAGAAGATAGAAAATCTGGTCATCAGCAAAAGGGAAAAATCCAAGTTGCAAGTTACAAATCAAAGATGACAACATGAAACAGGTGCAGAAATTTAAATATCTGAGAAATGTTTTAACAGAGAATGGAAAATATGACCCTGAGATCCAAACATGCATCGGATTAACAAAAGAAGCATTCCAAAAGCTAAGCAAGGTGCTGAGAAATGGGGAAATTTGGTTACAAACAAAGAAAAGAGTACTGGATTGCTTTTGTGTTATCCATCCTCTTATATGTCAGTAAATACTGGACAATTTCCCCATGGATGAGGAGAAAACTGAAGGTAGCAGAAATATGGTTCTACAGAAAGATACTGAGAATTCAACACAGAAGTCTTAAGGAAAATAGCAACAAAAAAAGCATTTATGCTCAGAAGGCAAGAGAGATAGGGGAAGACATTGAGCCACCTATTTGATGAGCTTGTATGAATGGATGGGGAGATGGTGGTGTAAATAGCAAATATAGAAAAACTACTAAAGGCCAAGGGAAGTTTTGGAGAGCCATGATTGTCCATGTCCTGAAGGGATGTGGCATATAGAAGATCATCAGCTGTCTTGTTTTCGTCTCCTTAATCTTGTCAGAAATCATCTCCTTTTTCATGGCAATAGTCAGAATTCACTGCAGGCCCAATCTCAATTGTAGGGGATTTAGTAGTTCTGGATAATGTGATGTTTTGCTGACAAACCCTACACAAGATATGGACAGTCAAGATATTCAAAATGGTTGGATAATTTCTGAACAGTCTGTGGAATCTCAAGATCTTCTAATTCTCCCTCTCTTATCAATTTCCTTTAATGTTTGCCTGCACAATGTTCAATAATTCCATGCATTCTTTTTGTGACGGCCTTTGAGGACATCGATCACTTTCAATGCAGCATTGCTACAAAGATTTTATACATGGTTTGATCATTGACTAATCTTCAAAAAGTCTCCCTAATCATTGGAATTGTTTCAATGAACAAATTTCCAAATTTCATGCAAGATTTGCTGTGATTGTGATGGTCACACAGTACTCAAGCTCACACAATATCATCTTATTGATGACTGAGTTAGCACACTCATTTGATCACATCAAATCCATAGAACCGGTTCTGGAGTTAAAAGGACTGGATGCTTTCTACGTACTCATTGTGTTGTTGCATAGTTTTGCTTAAAACTAACATCTAACCATTATTTTTGTCATAAGTTTTTTTCATATTGATGGAGATTTGCTGATTAAGCCAAAACAAATGTTTATCGTTAACAACCAATATTGCAGATAAATTCTCTTACCTTTCATAAGATTGTATTTCTTCGGCTGACAAATGTCCTAATTTAAACTGAAATATCAAAATTCAAAAGATAACAGTATGTAAAGACAATGTTAGATGGTGCCAATATAGCTTGACATCATGGAAATTTCCAGGCCAATCTCAGTTATGTTCTAGCTTTTGGTGAGTTTATTTGAACATTGGCTAGGTTGCTCATGGTAAAGTGATGTGAATTATCAAAGCATGTTAGTAGGTATCAAACAAATGAGACATTTGACATCCCTTGACTTACAGTTTTATGTATTTTACCAGGATCATGACCAAATGGGTCTGACTAAAAACATCTACTAAAAAAACTCAAATTCTGTCCACATTGAGTACATGAGGTGCATATCCAGCATTCTTTAGCTTCCTTGTAATATGTGGGAGCATATGTTGACATAATGTCACTGGAAATATACCTCAGCTGGGCTTGTGACATTGCTAATTTCACCCTGGAGGACTGTCATGATTTCATTTGTTTTGTGTTAATAGATTTTAAGTGTCATCCAGACACCATGATGTCATGGAATCCAGTTGTCCACAGGACACCATGTTGATTGGTGGTCTTTTGATATTGAAACTAGGTGTTGGGTTTGACCAATGATTTGCTCTGTGGCACTGCTTCATGGCCCTTTCCAACCATTCATTGATGTACCTTAACAATCAACTCGAGAGTATCCTACATGATACTTGGTACTTGTCCTATGACTTACCACCACTTTTCTATCCCAATGGTTGTAACGAAAGATATGACTTATCTCGGAATTCAAAACAAGTGCGAATGTGTCTTACCTGCAAAGTGATGACAAAAATGATGGCCGCTATTGAAGACACAATTTATGCGTGCCTATCTCGTCCAAAACAAGATGACATTTGCACACATGCAAATTTTGGCCATCTTGAAATAGCATAAAAAGCAGGGTGCCAGCAGCACCAAAAGTGACAAGTCAAGTTCGGTGGACTGCATGTGTTAGAGTTGGACGTATGGATTAACAGGCAGACAAAGAAGAAGCTGAAGTAGGTATGGCTGAGTTGGTATCTATTTCACAACTACCAAGTGTAACGGCCGAGAAAGGGAGCCATGCAAGCCATTTCCTTGAAGTGACTGAAGAACAAAAATAGCTGGCCTGCCGGCGAGCATTGCACTGCACTTTTTGACCCCACCCCTACCATCATCATTTTTTTTTTTTTTCTCCTACAATGATTAACCTGCTACCTACCCAATCATAGTGTATTTTCTTCCTTCATGATACTGATATTCTTGAAGCATTCATCTACAATAACATTTGCCCTTTTTAATCTGAACAATTCCAAGTCTCTAAAGCACACTTGCTTAAAATAAAATATTATTTCAATAAGATTTCTTTCAATCATAAAATTAAGCTATTGAATCTATTTAACTTTTTAACATAAAAAAAACCCTTTTTTGTTTTGGAATTAAAAATGATATATTTCAATATTCATATCTGTAATTTTTCCAGGTCACCCAATCATAAATGATCCATTATACTCAGGAGATTTCTGGGGCCCAGAAGCTGCAAAAGGAAAAATATTTAAATGTGAAATTGATGAAAAAAAGGTGAGTAAAAATTTCCAAAATACAAATGACGGCTTCAGAACTGCAAATTGCACAATAGACACATCTGTGCGCCAGCCAAGAGTGGACTAGAATTTTCCGCGATCCCTGTTAATATAGATTAGCTCCTGGATATACCCTATTTCCGTTTTTATCACTTGATCTCCAAAAACCTCTAATTCACTCCTTTTCTTCCCATTCCCCTTTGGTCAATGTGGATACTACTTAGTTCCTTTTGAAGTTCAGTCTTCTATCTGCTGTTCTATCAAATAGAAACACTTGAGATAAAACACACCCCTCTTCCTTTTCTACATGAGTGTCCATGTATACCACACTTCTCCCTGAGACTAAAAAAAAGCCCAGTCTACTATTTAACTCATAGCTGGTGAAGAAAAGAGATAGTACCATGCTTTGTGTGTGTGTGAACAGGCTAGGCTGAAATTTGAATTTACTTTACCGGTTCCACTTTCCACACCAATAATTATTACGGTACACTTACATCGTCTACCAACTTTTATAATCTCCTTCTAAACCAAAAAATAGTATAATTTTATTATTTCTCAGGGAATATTGTTTTTGGATTGCTGGATATTCATATTTCAATGCTGTAGACTTTGGCAATAAATAATGTCTAATAATAATAATAATAATAATAATGTTTTGATTGTGTAACATTTCATTAGAAATAATAAAATCCCAGGATGTTTCTTGAGAAGAAAATTAAAGTTTATATAAAAAAAAATGTCAGGAGGATATTTGTTTATTCTGCCCAAAATGTTGACCTTTAACCTGTTATGATTGGCCAAATCAAAAGCACAAAATAGTTATGAATGCATGGAAAATTATTTTCATCTATTTCATTTTGAAAAGAATCATGTAATTACTGATTGAAATAAAATTAAAAGCCTGTTTCTTGATCACAGGTCATCAATCAAATATTGATGACCTGTGAGCATACCTTATGGAGTTGGCTTCTTTGTTTTTGCAATGACAAGATTGAAAAAAGAATAGAATCAAAAAGTAAAAACACTGAAATGATGAAAAATGGAATATAATTGAATTTGATAAAATGTCCTGAATTCATGAAAAGTTCTTCAAGATTATTTGGATGCTTCAGTTTTACATTTTTGTTTCTCTCTTGTTTATGGTTGTGTACGACATGCATGTCTGTGAGTTGCAGGGTGTGGGTAAGTAATGTGTGTACTTTTGACTGTCTCCATTTAGACTAATTCAAATTCATGTGCTCTAAAAAAAATACCAGGATGTAGCCAACAGAATCTTGTCTACCACACTGACAAAACCTTGTTCTTGATAATGACTGAAATGGTTGAATGAACTTTGGACACTTTATCTACAATTTTGATCCCAGTGTATATCCCCTTCCCTATCAATTATTTTGGGAAAAATGTTTCATTTTCAGACAAATTTTTTTTTTATTTGTTTTTAATATAGTAACTAAGAAACTGAGGTACCTTGAAGTACCCAAGCAGTGGCTATCACCTCGACCAGATGTAAGGAGTTGACAATTGTTGACTTTTTTCAAGCTCAGAAGGGCATAAAAAAGTCAAGCCTGACATATAAACACATCTATAGATGGTTTTTGAACATTATGTTTTGGGCATGTTTATTCATCTGTATCTGAAAAAGACACTTTTGGTAAAAACATATAAACACACGTCTGCACTGAGGAAGGGTTAACTTACTAAAAAATTTGGAAAATGCAATAAAAAAAATTGTCTGTTGAATTTAACAAAACTTGTTTGGAAATATACATGTATGTGTGCATACATGCATTCTGAATACCATTGCACATGGATGTGCAGCATCAGGAAGAACAGATTCTAAATCATACAGAGTGGAGGCACTTTATTAGGGTGGGTGGGGTAAAATGCCTTTGAGGGTGAATGTCTTCCAGGCATGCTCAGATCAAATGTAATTTCCAAAGAGGCACTCACTCTGATTTGCAAAAAACTAAAATGCAGTCTTGGACATGTGTTTGTGTGAGAGAGAGAGAGAGAGCATGCACATGCTGGTGTCAAGGTATCTTTTATATATATGTAGGGAAAAATAAAAGCTTTGGGTAAATTTGCATTATAAGCACCAAAATCCCACGGTAATGAAAATGTTCCATTATGGTGTGAAATTGCCTGATTATTTTGAAAATAGCATTAAGAGTTTGTGCTCTATTACCGTTTAGGAGTTATGGACAATGTGACTTCTTTCATGTCACATTGGCAGAACGGCTACCATTACTGACTTTGTTTACATATGTTTGCCTCAAGTAGTGATGCAACACAGTAGCTTCACTTGTCTTGATTACTGCACAATGCACAAAGTTTAAAATAAATGCATGATTCAAATGAAATTTACTTGTTTTTTTTGGGGGGGAAAAAGGCTTCACTCATGACATTATATTTATTTAGAAAAGGTTTTAATTGGAAAAAAGGAATTTATACCGATAAAAAAACCCCAAAAAACTATTCATTTAAAGCTTCAATTTAAAATAGATACAAAAAGCAGTAAAAAGGTCATTAACTAAGTATGCTTCCACGCATGATTACTCAGAGCAAATTTATGTAAATAATGCCAGTTGGACAAAGAGATTAAACTTACATTGTCAATAAATCCTAAATGGTAATTGATCACAAAATTTTATTGTCATTTGTGAAATAACCAGGCAATTTCATACCAGAATGGTACATTCTCATTACCGGGGGCTTTTAGTGCTTATACTGCAAATTAGCCAACCTTTACCCAATTAGTATTTCAAAGGCACTGCTGCTTTTAGCTAACCACTGTAGCCTGTTTGTATTAATTTCTGGTTGCTACTATCAAATATTTCTTCTATGTTCATAATTTCAAACATCCTGATACCAGTATCTGTCTATATTTCTGAGATGAGGTATTATGTACACTATTTACATTATTATTCAGACTCTTGTCCTCCACTTTGTTGCCATACGTTTCAGCCATTGTACACTCCGGCCTTCTTCAGGTCGTTTGAATGTCAAACTAAACCCTTTATTTCGCTCACTGGGATAGACTGTTCTAGTTCCACATGCCATGTTTAATGGATGTCAGTTATCAGTTATCTCCTGTTAATTCTCCACTCCAGGGTCTCCACTGCCTCAAGGACACATGGCACAGTAGATAAAGGTGTTGGTTAGATCCAATGACAGGACCCAAAGAGTGTGAGTTCAATATCCAGTTAAGGCAGTGGAGAACTTTCAGAGGGGAATTAACAGGTGATAAATGATAACTGACATCCATTAAACATGGCACGTGGAACTAGAACAGTCTACCCCAGTGAGCGAAATAAAGGGTTCAGTTCGACATTCCAACCACCTGAAGAAGGCCAGAGCGTACAACAGCTGAAACATTGTAATATGGCAACAAAGATGAGGACAATAATCCGAATAATCTAAATAGTTTACATAATACCTCATCTCAGAAATATAGACAGATACTGAATGGCGGAAACGTTGTAATAAATATGGCAACAAAGATGAGGACAATAATCCGAATAATGTTAATAGTGTACATAATACCTCATCTCAAAAATATAGACAGATACTGAAGGGCCGAAATGTTGTAATAAATATGGCAAGAAAGATGAGGACAATAGTCTGAATAATGTAAATAGTGTATCCTGTTACAACTACTTTTATATTTTCTATTGATTGGTTCCTTCTCTAGTAATTTAGCCAATCTATATTCACCATATATTCCTTAAGTCATCTCACACATTTTCTTTTTTTCCCAATCTGAGTTATGACTTTAGTCAAAGGAGAGAATCATTTGTATGTACCATACATTTCATTCTCTTTTGAATAAAAATCATTGAATAATAATTCAATAATTCCTTATGCTCGATTCCAACCCCAGGTAATTCAATAACTTTATATTTAAAAGGTAGTTATACTGTCTATAGAAATACATTTTTTTTCTGTTCCTTTCATATGCAGGTTGGAGAAGAGGTTATTAAGAACCACAACATTGGTCTCTGGGAGAAAGGACCACACCCTCTTTTCCAGACACGCCTACAGCAAGTGAAAGAAGAAGCTGCAAGGAGAAAAGCAGCTGCTTCTACCAATTTAGTCAATATATCACATGAAGAAGAAACTAAATCTACCAAAGACGGAGACAGTCATGAGGAAGCAACAGAACCTCCATTGAAACGTTTCAAGACAAACGATGAAGACAAAATGGAGGAATCACGTCCAAGCTTTGATCTCCAAAAATGGATCCCCAATGAGAATTGCATTCATTGCAAGACAGAATATATTGACCCACAGCCTAAAGATTTGATCATGTATTTACATGCACTTAGCTATAAGGTAAGTAATTAGCTTATCGTTTTAAATTATCTTTTATGAGATATTCCAGTTACTTACGCATATACACTATTTGCAATAAGTTAATGATATTTGGAGTTATGTGTTCTTGTTTTTGTTCACAGGTTTTGGATGTTGTGAATGTTATCATTTTTGTGCAGTCATCCATGTGTGTGCATAGCGGGGGAATACTGTATCTGTTCATATTCTGTGAAGTGGACTGGGGTAGGGGGAGGGTCATCATTTCAGAATCACGTGCAAATATATAACACTAATATAGTCATTTTTATAATAAGAAATAAAACTGGACCGTTTTGAAATGAACTAGCGTTTTTGAAGACTTAAAACATAAATTGAAGATACATGAATTTGCTTGCATGATATTTTTTAAAAATCCCAAAGAATCTACCTAAATTACAAGTATTTTTAAAAACAAAGATCTTTCAAACAATTGGTAAATATCTTTGTATATTTGAAAGTTATTCACTTTTCATTTTTGCTTACATATAAATGTGGTGAGCATAAAACAATTCATTTATGAAAATTCACCAAGTGTTTTAAAACTATTTCTGCACAGAATTTCTTTTTAAAATTTTCTTTCCAATTCAGTCTTTCATTGTTTTTTTATGATATGAATGATTGTCAATGAAAATAACTGTAGAAACTCCAATTTCACAAATTATTACCATATAAAGTTCAATCATCAATATGTGCTCTACACTTAGTGCCTTGTGCCGTACACAACTAAGATTTATTTGTCTGTTAAGTTTTGAATAGCAATTAATGAGATTACAAAACCCATTACTTTCAAAGCTCAAAAGATTTTCCCATATAAAATTGCAGATTTGCTTTACATCATTTTAGCTTATGGCACCAATTACTTTCAGATAGTGATGAAAGGAAACCAGTAAAGAGAGAGAGAGATAAAAGATCTGTGTTAGGATTCTAGTTGTAAAGTTTCTATGTTTGGTTTTGGAGTTTAGACATTTCCCAAAAGAGAATATTAACACAAATACCTTGATTACCAAATGTAGAACAATACTTAATAGTTTCACACTGTGTGCTCCATTAATGTTACCTTGTGCCAGCCTAAGCTAAAGTAAATTATTTCTTTATTTACATTTAGACTAATATCCTCCTCTTTCTTGTTACTATCACAATGTTTCAGTCTTTTTTTTCTTTCCAAAGAGAGCAACCACTAAAAAATTGTTAAAATAAAAACACAGTGGACGATATTAATTTTCTTCCAAATAAGATAAATAAGGATAACTCATAAAAAAAATAATATTTAACTAATAAAAAATAAAATAATATAAATAATGATAATTCCTCATCCCAGAAATTCAGTTTGATTGACACGTATAATGGAGCATTTTCTTTGAACATTGATACAGGAGGATTTTTAATTTAATTTTTTTTTTTTTTTTTTTTTTAAATATTTTTGCACAATTTAAAAATGTTAAAAACCATTTATTTACTTTTAAGTCTTTTTAATTAACGTGTTGCTATTGTTTATTAGGGTCCTGACTGGAAATATCAAACAAGTTTACCTGATTGGGCACAACCAAACTGGCAAGAAGAACACTAATTCCTTGTGTATATGGCGACCATTAAAATATATTTTAAAACTGAGTTTTCTTTTGATTTTCTTTTTTTTTTTTTTTTTTTTTTTTCTTTTTTTTTTTTTTTTTACATTTTAATATTTTAATTTCTTGCATCCTAATGTTTCCAGTGTCATCAAAATTTCATAAAATGTTTACGTTTTCATTTTTTACTTTTGAACAGAGGCCTAGACCAGGTATTGAACTCACAATATTGTCCTTGGACACATGGCACAGTGGATAAAGGCATTAGTTAGATCCAGTGACAAGACCCAAAGAATGTGAGTTCAATACCTGTTTAAGGGTTCAGTTCAACAATCCAACCACCTGAAGAAGGCCAGAGCGTACAATGGCAGAAACGTTGTGACAAACATGGCAACAAAGATGAGGACAATAGTCTGAATAATGTAAATAGTGAACAGATTTTATTTAAAAAAAAATATTTCGTTTTTTTTTTTTTTTTTCTTCTTTTGCCCTAAAAGATTGTCTGGGTCAATATTGTGTAGAGGAAGTTAATGCCACAGAGTAAGAGATTATGGGTAGGGTACATCTGTTGGGAGAGAAAGAAGACAAAAAGAGAGTATTATGGGCACATATTTGAAGAGAAGAAGAATAATATTTCCAAGGGGAGAGATGGGGAAGATAAAGAAGTCAAGGGCAAAAAGACAAAATAAAAATGATTGAAAGAACAAGAATGACAACTCAAAATGGTGGGACTCAAGATAGAAAAACAAAATCAAGAACGACTGAAAAAGGGTGAAAGTATTGATGTGCAAATTCATTTGAAGAGTGGAAACATTTCTAAAAGGTGAAGAGAAAAAGGGAAATTATTTAGAAAGATAAAGAAGTAGAGGTAAAATGAAAAAGAGAATGAGTGAAAACGAAGAAAGAAAAAAAAAGTTGGGATTCAAATATTTGTCTGTAGAACAAGGTGAATTCAAAATGGTATTGTTTTACTTGGGAGTGAATTTTGTCTTGTTTTGTTTTTTTTCCCTAGTTTACTCCCCAGGTCTCCTGAGTATTGATTATCACTATGAGTGGTGTTCGCTTCATGAATGGCACTACTGCTGGCATTGCATAGCAGTCAATGTACTGACTAATTTCCATGCCAAAGATATTTGGGACAACTATAAAGAGTGAACAGAAAATGTGGGCCGTTGTTGAAATTCAGGAATTCATACACAATGCAGGAGACTTTGCATATGGAATGTGACAAACTGCTTTTGTAGAATCCTATGACTGTGGGCCTTTACAACAACACCACCATCATCGAACTTGTCTTAGAAGATAAGTCTGTATTAAACTGTCACTATTTGTAACAATTCAACAAACAAATACACAAAGCAAGAGATTTTTCCTTCATAAACATATTTGTTATAACAATAAATTAGATCAGTTTTTCAATGTTTTAAGATTAAATATTTATAAATATTCCATAAATATTTTCTATTGTCTGAAAGAAGAATTTTTTTTTCTTTGCATGACGACAATGCAAACACCATTACAGTGAACAAATAGAAGACATTGAGAATAGCTAAAATGGATAAAATGCCTGGAAAAAAATGTGTAGCACTAAATGGTGAGTAGGTTGAAAAATAAATTTTAATTTTGAAGGGAAATTAATTTCACTTTATTTTGATACCAATTTTATTCTATCTTGTCTAAAACTTTTAGAATTGGAAACCTTTTCTCAAACAACTCTCATATTTTATTTTTATTTTTTTTTTAGACAATGCTAATGTTATTTGACATTTTTTAGGTATATGTTTCATCTTGTTTTCAGAAAACAGATATGAAGCAATGATGGAAAAATCTGTAAAGTGAAAGAAATTCGACATACGAATTTATTAAAAAAATGTAAAGAGAAACGGTTCAACAACTGCAGACTTTGATGTTATTTGGAAACCAGGGTTCAAAAAAATCTATTTATATAATTTAAAACTTCCATATTAGAGGTTAATACTTTTAAATAATTTTTTGGCATTAAAACTTGACACCTCTTTATTTTAATTTTTATAATTAATCCAAAACTTTTCAACTTTTTTTTAAGAATTTTTTTCCAGAATTTTTGAAAACAGAATATTTTTTTTTTTTTAACAATATTGGAAATTTTGAAAAGATAAGTCAATATATAAATATATATATATGACTACCTCTTATTTTAATTTTATATAATAATAAACGATTGCAAAACAAAAAAAGAATACTTTTTACTCTTGACTTCTATGTTCACTTTTATATTTCCAGCTCTATTTTTGAAACAGAGCACTTTATTTTTTATAGCACAATATTGGAATTTATATATATATAATATATATATATATATATATATATATATATATATATATATATATATATATAAATAATATTCACTTTTTATTTTCTCTTATTTTAATTTTTATTCCTAAATTGTACTTTTGCTTTTAGTATTTTTTAAATCTGATTCCTCCTCCAAATATTTTATTTCATTCATTCCTTTTTTTTTAATATTTTGTCTTTTCACCTCAAAATCAAATTTGTCTTTTGAGGATAACTGTTTCAGGAATTCTCACAAGTCATTGTTAATAAATTTGGTGCTTTGCTAATTTTAGTAAACTATCAAAAGAGCACCTAAGTAAGTTCTATCTTTATTTAGCGCTCTCTTATTACAGCCTTATGCCAAGCTATTAAAGTGTATCAAAACTTTTTTTTTTTTTTCAGCAATAATCTCTTAAGAACTCCAGTATGGCTCTTGAAGGTTGAATGCTCTTCATGTGCCATTCATTGATTCAAAATTTTAGAAAAGTTTTCAAGTTCTGTTGGTAAAATTATGTTCTAATTTGAGTCTTAAAGTATTGTAACTGACAACTGATATCTGTCAATTTTTGGCTTTTATTTCAAGGGAGAAGTTACTACTATGAAAATGCCAATTTTGGGGAATATGGTTAAATATTGTTTCATTTCCTTCCATTTCTTGAATTCTGCAAATATTTGTTGTGGTTTTTAGACACAGTTCAAAATAATGCCTTAGAATTGCCAGAATTCTAATACTTGGAGACCTCATTTTAACTGCTGAAACAAAAGGCGCATCTGATTGGCAGTGATATATAGAGTAATAATATTGATAATGCAATAGAGTCAATCATCAACTTTAGATGTGTTCATGAAATAAGCTTTGAAGTAAAGGTCTGTAAAAAGAAATGAAAATGCTTTTTACACTAATAAAGATAATAAAATTGCAACATTGAATATGTTGTCTGCTAAGTTTTGAATAGCAATTAATGAGATTAAAAAACTCATTACTTTCAAAGCTCAGAAGATTTTCTCATATAAAATTCAGATTTGCTTTACATATGAATATAATATATAATATTACCTTTGACCTCATTGCAGATGAACAAAAGGAAGATAGCACATTATACAAAATAAGAGGACACTTTTTCTTTACAATTGAAGGAATACCTCGTCCCATTTGGAACAAAAACACTACTCTGTGATGTTGAGACTGGTTATTCAAGACCATATATTCCACCTTCATTGAGAAAAAAAATGTTTCTGCATTTTCACAACCTCTTACATCCTGGACACCGAGCAACCGACAAGTTGATTAGCAGTCATTTTGTCTGGCCAAACATGCATAATGACATAAAAAGCTGGACTCAAACTTGTTTAAAGTGCCAAAAAAGCAAAGCAAAGTAAACAGACATACTAAGTCCCCTCCTGGGCATTTTCTAAAACCAGTTGGTAGATTCACAAATCTTCACATTGACATAGTGGGTCCCTTACCAGAAGCAAACGGACATAGTTACCTACTCACTATTATTGACCAATTCACAAGATGGCCTGTCGTTGTTCCTCTAAGGGATATATCTGCAGAAACGATCTCTAAAAGTATATTACATGAGTGGATTGCCGTTTTTGGTTGTCCCTCAGTAATAACTACAGACCGAGGTTCTCAGTTCCAATCTACACTCTTTGATGAGTTCACAAAACTATTGGGAGTTCAGCATATAACAACAACGGCTTATCACCCATGTGCCAATGGCTTAATTGAACGTTTCCACAGGCAACTTAAATCAGCATTAACAGCAAATAATGATTCCAAGAGGCAGTTAGAAAATCTACCGCTAATATTACTATCCATCTGGAATGTAATCAAAGAAGATTTAAGATGTACAGCATCCGAAATGGTTTTTGGAATGTCCTTGACATTACCAAGACAGTTTTGTGATAATTCCAGTCAACTCCAACCAACTACATCTTTTGTACAAAGATTTAAGCAAAGAATGAATGAACTAGTTTTCACACCCACTAGAACACAAACAAAAGACCTTTACACTCCAAAAGACCTCCGCAATTGTGAATATGTTTTCATACGAAACAACACAGTAAAAAGGCCTCTTTGCCCTACTTATACGGGACCTTTCCAAGTAGTCAACAGAAAACCCAAATATTTCACAATTGTAGCAAAAGGCAAGCAAGACACTGTCTCTATAGACAGACTAAAACCAGCGTAATTTACCTACAAAGGAAAGTACGTCGGAACATTCTACAGCCGCGTCAAATACCAACATAAGTGAAACATTTTCTACACCTCCAAACACACCTGAAAACATTACCACAAGATCAGGTAGACACGTACACTGGCCTACTCATTTTAAAACATATATTAGATATTGAGAAATATTTTCAATATTTATCAATCTGCAGGGGGGGTTTATAGGATACAAATCCTATATCATTCCAACAAATAACTGAAAAACACAAATTAGATTTGCACACCCACAAAATCGGATCAAAACGACTAAAAACAGATTTCGCAATAAGGTGTGAAATTAATTTTCTGACCAATGAAAGGAGGTGATTTGCTAACTAAAAAAAGATAACGATCCAGTGTGAAAAAAAAAGTCAGCTATAAATAGAGAGACTCAAGTCAATCACCAGTCAGAAGGGCGCAGAGATCATAGAAGACAGAAGACTGACAGTCAGGTCCGTCACTGACTCAACC